ATGTTTTATTTATTTTTGCTTAAACGTGTAGATTAAGCAGAGTTGTATCTTTGTACTTCAGCTATTTTCCTGCATGTGTATGCTTTGATGTAGCTTTAAGAGAAAGCAAAATATTACACTTGTTAAAATGAGGTAGAATACTACACCAGAGGACTTAAAATGTACCATTGGACTGCTATAGATACGATACACAACCAAAAATAGTAATCAAAATAGAAAACTTTCTAGCCATTACATCCAAATCATAATCCAATAGTACATGAACTCTAATCAATAATAATACTACATAATTTCATCCTTAGATATAGATCAGGCTATACCGCTATAATTTCATCCTTAGATATAGATCAGGCTATAATGAAACAAACTCATTTGCATAATGCCATACAACACTAACATAATGAAGACAATCTTTATCTGGTTCATGCGTGTGTGCATTCTTTCAAACTCTCTTATAACCACCTTTATCTCTTGGTTTTCATTTTTTATTTGGATCACATAAGCTCTCATTTCTCTACCAAGATCATCAATTTGTTCTTTCAGTTGCTTCACATCCGTATTCAGCGCTTCAACATTTTCCTTCATTACATCCTCCACCCATTTAAAATATCTGCATTCCATATGTTTCAGCTGAAATATTTCTTTGAGACATTTTGTCAAACACCTGCAGGCTAAAGTGAAGAATAGATAAAAGTATAGAATTAACAGGGACAGACCACATAACATCGAAAACTTGCACCTGTACAACGTTTTCCCAGGATTCCTTGACGTATTTGACCTCCACATGGTAGTTTGAGTACCATGGATGCACTTTGACCCGTGATAAGATTCCATTTTTTTATGAACGCATTGAAGTCATGTCACCCATCTCAGTGTTCATGTCACCCATTTTGTAAACAAGCTTCATAAACTGGAACTACTACAACTTCCAGAAGTTCTGAAAAGGTGAGATCGAGAGATGAGAAGACCTAACCTATCGACGAAGATGAGAGAATAAGATGGTGAGAAGACCAAATTTATTTTTTTAAACTACTTTAGCTTTCTTACGTGTGGGATTTAATGAAGTGGACAATGATTCATTTGCCACTTCATCAACTAACGGACATAAATAACTTGGTTAAACGGAAAGAGGTATTGCTGGGAAACACATAGTTTGAATCTTTTTATGATAAAATTAAAAGATGAGGATAGATTTGTGAATTTTTAGAAAGTTGAGGATATATTCAGCCAATAAGTTTTTTTTTTTTTTTTTTTTTTTTTTTTTTTTTTTTTTTTTTTTTTTACAAATTCCACCGAGTAATGTGATTTTAGGAGAGTGTTACAACTAAGTCTATTGGTATGTGATATGTCAATGCAAAAAATAAGAAAACTGAGAGTCCAAATTGATAAGAAAAAAATTTATTAAAGAAAGAAATTTCACTAATACAAAAACATAATTTCTCATACTAAATTCATTATTTTCAAATCAAATCATCATTCATTGACTTGTATTGTTTACAAACAATACTTTATTAATTACAGGGACGAAAAATAAAAAAACAATTGCCAAAACTTAAAACAAAGTGTGTCATATTTGTAGGGACTAAAAATGTATTTAAGCGTATTAATAAATGAATATATATATATATATATATGTATATATATATATATATATAGAGAGAGAGAGAGAGAGAGAGAGGGGTCTTCTTGTCAGGCCGGCCTGACGGGATGCTCCGTCCGGCCGAGCCCGTTTGGGCACCTTCCCGGTGAAAGTTTTTGATTAAATTTTTTGAGCATGTTCCTCATCAAGTCTTGTTTGTCAATACCAAAATTCAGCTCAAAATTCGATCGGGAAGGCATTCAAATCATTTTTTGAAGTTGACTGCGTCAAAGTATACATATAAAACTGTAGTCAACTTCAAAAAATGATTTGAATGCCTTTCCGATCGAATTTTGAGCTGAATTTTGGTATGGACAAACTAGACTTGATGAGAAACATGCTCAAAACATTTCATCAAAAAATTCCACCGGGAAGGTGCCCAAACGTGCTCGGCCGGACGGAGCATCCCGTTAGGCCGGCCTGACATGAAGATTTGTCTATATATATTAACAATATATATATATGTATATATTAACATCTATAAATTTTAAAATAAATCAAAGGAAATGAAATATTAATGAAAGTAGCTCTGCCTCTTCCAATAACAACACTACAATTTATATATAAAAATGTATTTAAGCGTATTAATATATATATATATATATATATATATATATATATATATATATATATATATATATATATATATATATATATATATATATTAACATCTACAAATTTTAAAATAAATCAAAGGAGATGAAACATTAATGAAAGTAGCTGTAGCTCTGCCTCTTCCAATAACAACACTACAATTTTTTTTACTACAATTTATTTAAATTAGCTTATGAACATTCATGCCCACCAAGTATTTGAAAAAATAACAAAATGAATGCTCTATGACTTTTCAATGTGGGTCCTAGCAAAATAACAACCTTTCTTTTTTTTAATGTGCTATAATTTTTTTTTTTAACTTAAATTTTTAAAAAAATATATCAAAATTGATATTTTTTATTATATTTCATATGACGTCAATATTGAATATATGAAAAATAAAAACATAATTTAGGACTTAAAAATACTTTTTTTTAAGTGTTATAACATTTTTTGTTTCCACTTCGATTGTTACAAATAATGTATCAAAATTTATAATTCTTTATTATCATTCATATGACACAAAAATGACAATTTGATCGCTTATAGCATTTTCAATAAGTGAAAATTTTGTTCGGTAAATACACTAACGTTTTCGAGCGAAATTGCTGAAATAAAAACACTACAAAAAAGAGAGTTTTAAATTGACATTTTGAAATGTGACATTATGATCAAACAATTAAATTAACAAACATTCTCTTACCTCACGAACTTACGGGGCTAATCAAACCCAGACATTGAATTGGTTATTAAGAATCCACTAACATAATCAAACAAGCCCTTTTATTTCAAAAAAAATAAGTGGGATGAAATACACGTTCTATCCAAGATCGGCAACATATCTTTTGGCAGTTGAAAGGACGAAATGAGCAATGGGAACCGTGAAAGTAATAATCGCCATTAACCGCCATTCCCAATGGCATGGAGAGCTCCAAGCTTCCAAGCAGTGGCGGAACCAGCCCGAGGACCTTGGAGGGGCACAATTGCGAAAAGGGAATGTTTTAATTTTAACAAAGCGGACGGCTTGCTGCGACTCTAGAATTCCGGTCTCCGACAAGTAGGCGACAACTAGGAAAGTACTGAAGAGGCTACAATGATGCGTACTATGAGTCGTTCGGAAGAGGATGCGTCCGCCGTCTAGATCGTTGTGGCTTGATGCGCAACACAGGTCTCAGACAGGCGGCAAGGCGAGCACTTTTTTATTTTATTTTGTATTTTATTTAATTTTTATTTTTAAAAAAAGGGTATCTGATCCTGATTGTTACATACCCATTTGGAAAATACAAAAGCTTTCACTGGCTTGAGAACACTAATAAATTTCCGATCCTGATTGTTACATACCCATTTGCAAAATACAAAAGCTTTCACTGGCTTGAGAACACTAATAAATTTAGTGATGCAATATGATTTTATAATCCAAGTTGTAATCCGTATAAAAATGTATTCACCCTTTTTATCTCACCCCACAAATCCAATAATAACTATCCTAGATTCCTAGCCCAATTCCACCTTGGGACACCTAAAAGGCAGCTACATGTCAACCTTAGAAGCTGCTCTCTTCACCTAATCTGAATGTTTCTGATCTGAATTTTTTAAGTTCTGATCTGATCTGATCTGATTTTTCTGATCTGATCGGATCTGAACCTTTCTGATCTGATCTGATCTGAATGTTCCTGATGTGATCTGAATGTTTCTGATCTGATCTGAATGTTCCTGTTCTGATCTGAATGTTTCTGATCTGATCTGAATCCTTCTGATCTGATCTGAATCTTTCTGATCTGATCTGATCTGATTTGAATATTTCTAAAATTATAATTACAATTATAATTACTATAATTATAAATGTAATTACACATATATAATTTAAATCATAATCATAATCATAATTATAAAATTATGATTATAATTACAAACATAATTATAATAGGTATAATTATTATTATACGTATTACACTAGTTATAAATATAGTTATAATTATAATTGTAATTACATTTATAGTTATATTTATTTCTATAATTATAATTTTAATTATAATTATGATATTTATTTCTATAATTTTAATTGTAATTACTCCGTATAATATGATAATAACGAAAACAAAACTAATAAAAATAACAACAACAACCATATTAGTAGTAAGAATAATAATAATCATGATAATAATAAATATCATAATAATAATAATAATATCAATAATAATATCAATTATAATATCAATATTAATAATAATAGTAATAATAATAATAACAACAATAATAATAAGAAGAATAATAATACTAATAATAATAATATCAATAATAATATTAATTATAATAATTACAATAACAACAACAAGAATAATAATAATTATAATTATTATAATTATTATAAATATTATTATAATTACTATTATAATAAAAAGGATAAATCATGTCTGAACTTTTCTGATCTGATCTGAATGTTCCTGATCTGAATGTTCCTGATCTGATCTGAATGTTTCTGATCTGGTCTGAATCTTTTTGATCTGATCTGAATGATTCTGATCTGATCTGAATTTTTCTGATCTGATCTGATCTGAATAAAATACTCCCTCCGTCCCATTTTGGTTGTCCTACTTTCCTTTTTGGGTTGTCCCAAAATGAATGTCTTGTTTCCTTTTTTGGCATGAAATATGTGATTCTTATTATTTCACTTTAGTCTACTCAAGTCTCAATATGGGACGGAGGAAGTAAGAATAAGCAATAAGTAATAAAATTAGGAGGAACCGAACAGCTTCTTAGTGGGGAAGGAAGGCCTAGCCATTTCACATTCTGACACCTCATCGGTCATCATCACTATTCCAAGCAGCAGACATCAAGCTTAAGCAAACAAATGTATGATATAGTTCCTGAATAATATATTATGTAATAATATATTATTACATAATATAAAGAAAACCTCAGGGCGGCAGGGGCACAAGCACCCCCAGTTCCTGAATAGTTCCGCCACTGCTTCCAGCGCACACAAATGACAACCCAGAGTCTAGACTGACTTTTTTTCCGAACACACTTCGGCGGGAAACTTAGGTGCGCAGGCTTAGCTCTCCCTCGTCAGGTCAAGATTACAACTTTGAAGTAAACGCAGAATGAAGAGAAGTCGAAGAGAAATGGAAGAGAACGGAAGCAGAGCAACCGCCGAAGAAGAAGAAGAAAGTCCGGCGATAGGGATCGATTTGGGGACCACATACTCTTGTGTCGGAGTATGGCAGCCCCACCATGGCCGCGTTGAGATCATCCCCAACGACTTAGGCAACCGTACGACGCCGTCGTGGGTTGCGTTTACTGATGCCGAGCGCCTTATCGGAGAATCTGCCCAGAACCAGGCCGCAACGAATCTCTCCAACACCATCTTCGGTTTGGTTTTTTCTCCTTTTTTTAAAAGTCGTTCTATTTTCTTGATCCATTTCTTTTAGACAAATTTCCAATGACCCATTATATAGATGCCCAGCAAATAAATATATACGGAGTAAAATATAAAAATAAACTCTCTAGCCGTTCTTATTATTCCTTGATCTAAAAACAAACCAACCGGGATACATATTAAGGTGCAATATAATATGCTCAAAGGCATTAAAGCTAAAAGCTTTATGTGGAAATTTAAAGAACGCCTTATCTTTTTCTTCCGCTCAAGTATTACATTAATTTTTGAATACTGGTTTGTTAGAGAGGACCAATAGTATATAACTATTTAAAATGTTGGCCTACATTTAAAGATATGACAGGCACAAATTTATAATTTTATCCTACTTATTTATGTAACAATTACCGAATAGAGTCAGTCATTTACCACCTCCCCTATAATGAGTCACAACTGATATAAACTTTAGTAGCATGTGTGGGAACTGGCCACTGCACGAATAGCATACAAATATTTAGATGGTGCATAATATAATAAAGGTAGATTCTATGGTACCCATAAGGTACCATACCTTTGTTCACATGGACCAATGAGAATGTAGCAGTTGAATTATTTAAATTTAAATTTAAAATGATAATGTGATGTGGTCCAATAAGATGAATGATAGGTACGGTACCCCATATTTTAGAAAGGTACCAGAGTTGTCACCTATAATAAATACGTGACTAGATATAGTTTATGCAAGCTTTATGCTCTTTCAATTCTAAATGTTTGAAAATTAACTTGTAAGCCTGCCTTAAAGTTACAAATGCAAAATAGGTGCTTACTCATTAAACTTCACACCTGTGTCTATAATAAATGAGCCTGTGTGACTTATTCTACAACTGTATAAAACAATGTCACCATAATCAGCAAATAATGCTCACTGCCTTAAGTCCCTATTTTACATAAGTTAGCAATTAGTTGGTTTTTATGGATGTATGAAGTACTGTCAAATTTTAGAGTGAAACAGGTTTTGGATGTAAGAATATATCTTGGTGGGTCACTGAACATCTATTTTTTCTGTGTATGCATGACAGAAGTGAAGAGGCTAATTGGTAGAACTTTTCGTGATGCAATGGTGCAAAATGACATGAAACACTGGCCATTTAAATTGACTGTTGTCCCTGATGCTGAGGTTGGAAAGAAGCCCATGATAGTTGTGACTTACAAGGGGGAGGAGAAGCAGTTCAGCGCGGAGGAGATATCTTCTATGATCCTCCAAAAGATGAAGACTATTGCAGAGGCTTACCTAGGCAGACAAGTCAAGAATGCCGTCATCACGGTTCCTGCTTACTTCAATGATCTCCAACGTCACTCAACGAAAGATGCAGGTGTTATTGCTGGACTTAATGTCTTGCGTATTATAAATGAGCCCACTGCTGCTGCATTTGCATATGCTCAACACAATAAAGGAACTGAAAGTGCTGATTCTGATTTAAAGAATATACTGGTTTTTGATCTTGGTGGGGGGACTTTCGATATCTCTATTGTCACAATGGTGAAGGATGTAATTGAAGTTAAAGCGGTTAACGGGGACACTCACCTTGGCGGAGTTGATTTTAACAACAGAATGGTGAGCCACTTTGCAGCAGAGTTTGAGAGGAAGCACCATAGAGACATCAGTAACAATCCAAGAGCTCTTGCGCGGCTTAGAACAGCCTGTGAAAGAGCCAAAAGAATGCTCTCTTCAGCTTCTGAAACATTTATTAACATTGAGTCTTTGTTCGATGGTACTGATTTCTCTTCAACCATTACCCGTGCACGATTTGAGAAAATGAATTTTGATCTGTTTGAAAATTGTGTTGCAACTGTTGAGAAATGTTTAAAGGATGCCAAAATGGACAAGGTTGACATACATGATATTGTACTTGTCGGTGGGTCTACTAGAATCCCAAAAGTTCAAGAATTGTTGCAAGACTTCTTTAATGGAAAGCAGCTTTGCAAAAATATAAGCCCTGATGAGGCTGTTGCTTATGGTGCAGCTTTTCACGCTGCATCCCTGACAGGTGCTTGCCTGGGCAAGAATAAGGATACTGTGCTTGTCGACGTATGTCCTTTATCTCTTGGTATTAGGTGTTATTATGGTGAAATGTCTGTTGTGATTCCAAGGAATACGACCATCCCTACAAAGATGACAAGGTACAACTACACCACTCCTCTTGACTACCTAACCAGTTGTAGCTTCCCGGTGTATGAGGGAGAGATGCCTATAGCAAAAGACAACAACTTACTTGGTGAATTTTCCATCCATGGCATTCCCTCCGCACCTGCAGGTGTTGCGAAGTTCATTGTCACTTTCGAGATCGATGCCAATGGCATATTGACCGTGACTGCAAAACTAGAGGGTAGTAACAACAGTAACCAGATAACAATAACCAATCACAGCGGGAGGTTGTCAAAGGAGGAGATTGATAGGATGGTGAAGGAGGCAGAGGATTACAGGGCTCAAGACGATGAACGCAAGAAGGCGATTGAGGCTAAAAATGCTCTGGAGAGTTACATTCACCAAGCGAGACGTTGTGGAAGGAGGGTTCATACGAAGGCGGCCAGGATAAGATTGAGGAATGCAATTGAGATGACAGTTAAATGGTTGGAATGGAATAACCTGCTCAGTGATGCTTGCAAGTTTGAGGAGAAGATGAACGAGCTGAAGAGCATGTGTGAGTCAGTCATGGCAGAGACGCATCATCAGGGAAGTGACACAGCTGTCAAGCATGAGATCATTGAGATATCGGACTAGCAGAGACTGTTGAATCTTGAAGTGGCACAATGTTTTAACGTTTAATTGACTATTTTTCTCTATTGCTTACTGTGTGAATGTGAGATCACTTTGATAACTCTCACATCCATTTTGACTCTACCGAAGCCACATTTTTTGGTTCTTATTAATTCGGTTAGATCGAGTTAGGGTATTTTTGTATTAAAGCACCTGCTCGTTTTATGTTTTGCATTGTCCAGTTATCACGTTCTTTTGCCAGGCAACACTCCTCTTCGTTTTCTAACAGCCCCTTCCTTCTTCATACCCTGGTTCCTCTTTGGCTCTTTCAATTAGATATTTGGCTTTCAATCCATGCTTTGTATTCCTTCCACAACGTCTCGCTTACTAAGGGGTTCTTTACTTTTTTTCTCATTAAGTCCTGAATGGATCAAGACGTCTGTCTGCATTAAGTTGTCTGTCTGGATTAAGTTACACTGAGATAACAAGTTGTTTAATAAGTGTGCTGAATGAGAAGTCTGAATCATGTCTAATGACCAAATAACCCTCTTGTCTGTAATAAGTGCTGAATGTATATTTTCTGTTTATTTTCTTTGTTCTGAAAGATAAAATTTATATACCAGAAAATAATAATACAAAAAATAAAAGAGTCATATTGCATGATAAAATAAAGTCAAGAGTTTATGAATTACTAAAAATAAAAGAGTCATATTGCATGATAAAATAAAGTCAAGAGTTTTACGAGAATAACATTTTAAATTAAAACATTTCATACTAGTCTACTAGCAATTTCATCCCGCACATTCGCCATATATTGTAGACTTTGTGTACCCCATTGTGCTCCATCTACTTCCTCTCCAATGTCTTCAACTTGCTCTGGTGCTTGATTGTTGATTACATTGTCATTATCCCATTCATCGAAGAACTCATCATCAATGTTAGCTTTTCTAATAAAATTGTGAACCGCAAAACAAGCAATCACTACATTCCTTTGTACCGCAAATGGATAAGGAGCCATTTGTTCTAAGATTGGAAATCTTGCTTTCAAGACACCATAAGTACGTTCAATCACATTCCGAAGTTGTGCATGTGCATGATTGAATTTTTCTTCTTTAGTCAATGCACGACGACGTCGATAATCAGCTAACCAATACCTTGTGTTACGATATGGAGCCAAGAATCCACGCGTGTTTGCATATGCAGCATCACATAGATAATATTTATCTGTAAAAAATTCAAAAGTTATAAAATTATTAATTAAATTAAGAACATTTAATGAAAAAGTGAGAAATAATACGCACCTTGTGGAGGAAACGGAAAGCCAGAATTAGGATTAAATACAATTTGAGTTAATACTCGAGAATCATGTGCTATTCCTTCCCAACCAGCCCAAACAAAAGTGAATACCATATTGAAATCACAAATTCCTAAAACATTTTGATAACACCGTCCTCCTCCTCTTCCTCTATAAATAGTTTGTTGTTCAGTAGGCACAATGGCGTGTACAAGAGTTCCGTCTAAAGCCCCTATTGCTCCCTGCACCAAAAATAAACATAAAATATTGTAAATAATGTTTACATACTATACATTATTTACATAAAATAAAATGAGAACGTACCGGAAAAATCTCTATCAAACGTTTTTGGCGATTTGACATATTTATGGTAGAATCAGACGTCGGTACTATCATTTCTTTTGCAAATTTCATCATTCCTTGTAAAACGTCATGAAAGCAATTATGAACGGTTCTTGTGGAGTGTTGAAATCTTCGCTTAATGACTCTAAACCGCTGATTATTTCCAATAGTTGTCAAGAACATCGCCATCTTCTCCTCAACACTTACATGTTTATTATCACTCAACCAATTTCTTTCTCTAAAATGGTTGCACAGTAGTACAAATCCCATCTGAGAGACACGCATTAATTCTACACATTGTGTATTAGAGCCCTCTAATAACTCTTGTGTGTACGCATGTCCAGTCAATGCAGAAGTGTTATCGCGCACTCTTTGTATTCTTAACATAGATCTTCTTCTCCTCACATAGTAATAGAGAAGCAATAAGAATAAAAGTTTCTGGTCAAGGTCCATATCGACCTTGCAAAAAATAGTACAAATTAGATGGTTTAGATGCCACAAAATATATTAAAGGTTCATAACTAGCACATAAAGTCATGCCAAAAAACACACATAATAGTCATAAATGTCAAATTTAACAACAATGACAGTTAAGCAAAATAGGACAAATTGACAAATTACATAAATCCTAATTTTTTCCCAATCATTTTGACCCAATTTGGAAGGTGATTTGCTTCAATTTTCATCCAAGCTTCTCGATAAAGATCATTTGGATCACAAAATATTGCAAGTGCAACCCCATACAATGGGTCATCTCCTGCCCATCCTAGCATGTTGAGCTTAGCCATGCAATCATCAAATGTAGGTGGTCCTGGTTTTTGAGGCGCTTCGGGTTTCCCTTGCTTTGTGGCAACTAGTCGAATAACGCTCAAAATTTCATCATCAACGGCTGAAGTTGTCTGTTTTCCTTTTTTTAAGCTTGTTAACCTCCTTACGCCTAGAACATTGACCCGTAGATGTAGACATAGAGTGTGCACCTTGAACCTCCACTTCATCTTCAATCACAAAGGCACCATCGGAAGAAATATTTTCAGTAGAAGTATGTTCACATGGCATTGGCTCAATTGAAGTAGGTCCCCAACTTTGAACACCCGTCGCAACAGACCCGTCAAATAGTTGTGCACACAATTCAGGAAATGGAAGTGATGCAGTCTTCAAAGTCTCAATGTACTTATTTTTCTGTGTTTAAAAAATTATAAGGTATAGGAAACAAATGAAGAATGAAAATAGTAGAGTTATCTAGTGTGTACAAAGTTACCTTTATTTCAACCTCCCACTCCTCATCTGTAAGGTTAAATGTGTTGGATGACGGATCATACACATTGCCCGTTTTATTTTTGAGTAGTAATCAGGCACCATACTTTCCCTTAAGATAATCGTAATGATTTTTCATTTGTTTCCGATCAACAGAAAAGTGATGAGTATTTTTCAAAACATCAGCAACTTTCTTCCAAGAAAGAGCTTTCAGACTACTACCTTCTCGTCCATTTATAGAAATCTCATGAATACAACTCTCAAGAAATGTTTTCACCACATTCATGTTTTTCCAACTTATTCTACACCTCTTTTTCTTTTCTGATTCGGCACCTTGTTCCATACCTAAAGAATGAAGTAGGTTTGTTCCAATGATTTAAAAATGTTAAATAAAGTTACGTTATGTATTACAATCAAATCTAATGACCTCAATTTTAAATTAATCAAATTTAGTGAATAGTTCAATCTTTCTGTTTGTAACAAGTTTTTAGTAATACGTACTTCAATATAGTGCAGGGAAAAAAATCCTAAAAGATCTAGAGAATAGCTACTAAACTATGTAGGAAAAATGTGCTATGAAACATGGAAAAATCAGGATAAGTGAATGACTAGAAATCGCAGAATATAAGTGTTATTACAATCCAAAAAAACAGAAACTATTCTCAATTGGATGTAGATACTGTATGCCAAAAAATGGAGAAAAAGGTCATGTTAAACAGCCCCTAAGAAACTTTGAAAGAATAGGCAGAAGTAATGATGCTAAAGATGGAAAGCATAACTCAAGAGAGTTAGAAAATAAGCTTCACACACATGCAAAAAAAACTGTAAAACCGTTTAATATGTAGTATATGCCAACATATTGCATCAAAGCTACTACAATTTGTAAACTTACTGCTAACAAATGTAAAAACCCTGTAAAAAGTGTTAATCATATTTTTTTTTTAAAACCATATTTTCAGTCCAATCTAAGTAATCAAACACCTAATTTCTATAAATTTTGCAAGTAGAAATCACAATTAATAATTAAATAAGTCACAGACTCTTCCAAGGACTTTAGTGTATAATATCCAGGAAATATTATAACGTAGCTCAGTAGCTGTTAGAGTGCAATCTGACTCTCAATGTTGTGTCGTCTAACCCGGGAGTGAAGTCCATTACCGGAAGATATATAAATATAATGTCATTTAATCATTGAAAACAAGATGTTTTGCTTAGGAGGGCTATTAATCCATGCATACCCGTTTAACAGACATGTATTTGAAGCTGCTTATGTTTATTATGCTAAGAAACAAAACAATATGATTTATGCTATAAAAACATATCAAAGTCAGAGAAGTGTTCTGTTTTCCTTGCCTGTTCAAACATTACTTCACCCTTCAGGTACTTAGATTTCAGGAAGACTATTCTACTACACAGGAAAGTTATAGTTCGCTTAAAAAACCAGAGTCTATGATTCTGGGGAAACCAAAGAAAGAGGACAACTTTTATGCCAATCCACAAGAGTGCTTGAAAAATCAAGGATGTGCTTCATGATTCACATAATTTTACCCCAAAAATGGAAGACAAATTTTCCCAAATAAAAGTCCTAAAAATCAAAGACCTTCTTTCTTAAACAAAAGTGTGAAATAAGATTCTACTTCACGACCAAGTAATGTAAGCACCAATTTCAATGGCCTGATTTCATCTTGCAATTCACGGTCAATGTAAAATGAATATTTGAGATGAGTGCTTGTCTGTGCTACTCCATGATTTCTTTTCCAATTAAATTGAGCAAAGTATGAAAGTCAGCAAATGGATCGGATTAGTTGAGAGTTCACTTTTGGTTCAAATCGATGGAGTAGAGCTCATAATTAAAGATTGGAAATTCATATAAAAAGTATGAAATTTAAAAAATTAACAATTGTAGAAATTATGTAGAAAAATACCGTAGTGAAGATACAGATCCGGCAGCGATGAATATGCCCGCTGGAGAAGACGACCACAGACCTTGCTCTCTTGGCTGGAGAAGACGACCTCGGACCTTGCTCTCTTTCGTTGTTGGAAGTTTGATAAAAGAAACTATTATCTAGGGTTAAACGATGGAAATCGGTCTGTTCCCGTGTCTGAAGCTGGAGGAGCCTATTTTTTTGCTGAGCGAATAAGTCGTCTTACGTCTGCGCGAATAAGTCACGAATTTGATTAAGTTCCAAATAAACACAACTTAATGAATTAATGGTTAAGTCATTAAACACATTAAGTCCATTAAGTCCTAAGTAAACAGTCCCTAAGTGTCATACGTAACTATGGTCTTTTTTCCATCATTGCTTTAGTCATTGTACCATGTGCTATTAAATAGTTTTTTCCGTTATGTTTAACGGTGTTCTAATAATTAAATAGTGGAGTTTAACACTATTCTGTTAGGCTGCCCGCAAACCTTAGGGTGCCAAATTGGTTGGATAGCACTGACTGGGTGGCTATTACGTAGCTTATTCACGGAAAAGAAGTTGCTCAGTACTTTCTGGCGCATGGCATTTCACTAGAGTTAAGAAATTTGAAAACTCCAACTATCTTAAATGTATTACTCGTATAACTTTTGTATTTGTATTTCAAATTTTATAAAAAGTATATCAAATTTCATAATTTTGTATGACCTTTCATATGACATCAATATCATATATATATATATATATATATATATATATATATATATATATAAAGTTTAAAAAATAAAAGTACGAAATTTTATTAGTTGGAGATTTTTATGTTTATTTTTTTTAAAAGTAGATTCAAGTGCTAAAATTAAGGTTTCATGATAATTTTTTTTTTACTATCTTTCAGTTTTTTTTTTCAAAAATATGTACTACGTATAAATTAACAACAAAAAAGTTAAACTCCGAACTTATTTATTTTTACATCGAAATGTTTGTCTTTTAATATCATAATTATTTGCAAAAAAAATATTAACAAAAACAATAATTTAATAATAATAAAAGAAAGCCTTCAGTTAATGAAAAATTTTGATGGCTGAATATATTGATGGTGCAGGATTACAGTAAAAATTGAATTAAAAGACTGAATACGTATAAATAAGTGGAGAGTTTGATTTATTGACGGAACAGGGTTGCGGTTAGCCTTAATAATAATTAGATAGTGGAATAACACATGGTCTACCCCAAATGCAGCATATTTTTTTCAAACAAACCTTTTATTATTAAATAAAACAAAAATACATGGTAGGGGGACAATAGCCAAAACCTACCACATCAAATGACATACGAGTAGCTAATTGCATCAAATTTTACAATCCCTACAAATCTGCAGTAAATGTTTGAGTTGCGTTCAAAGAAAATAGCATTACTAGCATTAAATCTAGCACCATGATTACATATTTTATTGATGTGCACAAAACAGATATTGTCATTCTAGAACTTCTCTTTAAATCCTTCCAAATTAGCAAATGCATTCCGTCTTGGTCGTTTGGATCCTTGTAGAGTCCGGAAAACCTGTGAGTTATCACATTCGATAATAATGTTAGTGTAATGTTTCTCCATAAGAAAACTCTTAAGATTGATCAAAATATCACAAACATTAGCAACAAGGTCCTCATTTTGATGTGTGTGAGACTCTAGGTGAATAGGTTCGCCTTGATCATTCCTAATAATAATTCCTGAAAGAACATTCCCACCGTGCATATTTCCAATGTCAATGTTTATTTTCAGAAGTTGTAAGTAATTAATAATTCGCTTTTAAGATTAGGAAAATCATCCGGAGCTGTAAACCAACTTTTCAGAACAACATTAAGAGTCTCATTTGTGTTGAAGTGTCAACAAAGATTGTTCAGAAGTAGAGGGTTTCTGAGCATCTCGTTCTTTAATCCTGTGTTCACGAACCTCTAGTGTTCCTTGAAGTTCATCAATCTTCATGGTATCAAGGTCACGAGATTCTTCTATGTTGGAGGTAATTACATCAAATTGGGGGGATAGGGTTCGCAAGATCTTCTGAATGATTGTCCGAGTTTTCAAAGTTTCTGCACACGACTTCATCAGATTAGTAATATGCAGAATACGATTAAAATAATCACTTACTGATTCTTGAGCCTCCATGTTGAGATACTGTCGCCTTAACATCTGAAGCCGGACTGCCTTCAATTTTGAAATTCCGGCATAACTCAACTCAAGAATGTCACACGCTTCCTTAGTGGAAGATGCAGATGCAATTTTTTCAAAATTCTTCTCATCAACACACTGGTGGATGTAAAAGAGAGCCTTACAATCCTTTTTCTTCGCTTCTCGATACTGATTGCGCTGAATTACTGTCGCAGTATCATCAAGCACTGGTACACCAGAAGTAACGATCTCCAGAACTTCTTGGAAGCCAAAAATGGTCTTCATCTTGATACTCCACCGATCATAGCCATCAAGGTCCTTCGAATCAAAGATTGGTAGATTTCCGATCAGATTGCCTCCACTTTCGTTAGCTATTGCCGCTGCTCGCTGAGGTCTGATACCACTGTTAGTTGGTTCGTTAAGGAAGTTAGAAGAATGATATTAACAGATCATTTTGTAAAAGGCTCTCCAACTCTTATTGATCAATGGCATTATTTATACTACTACTCAGTATTACATCTTATTACAATTTGGGTTATAATAAGCCCAATAGGCTGAAATTCACTCTAACATAGACAGATGATCATTTTAACTATTTTTACATATAATTTTTTCTTTATTTCATTAATAACCTTGTGGTTGAAATTTGCTATAATGATAAAGTAGCAAAGTTTTTTGGGACAACCAAAAAGGGAAAGTTGACAAAGACCAATGGGACGAAGGGAGTATTTTTAAAAATAATTTTTTCTTAAATCAGCAGAATCAGCCAATGCAGTCACTTCAGCCAGAATTTTATAAATTTCAGCAGAATCAGCCAAATCAGCCGATTTTCATGTTACCAAACGGGCTCTAAATGTCTTTCCCGTCAATCTTAATTTCCCGCCAAAATGTAGCATTGCGGTTTGATCTACCCTTAGTCCCTTCGGCCACTTATGTACAAGTGTTGGGGACGCTCGCCTTAGGATAAGGGCAAACGATCGTTCGGGTGATCTGCGATGAGGCACCACTATGCTTTACCCTACATCCATCCCTCTTGATAAAACGATCATGACTATATCAAGACATAGTCTGGTAATCACATCTCGGCCCTAACTAAGGCTAAGAGAAAGGTGTGGATGAGCATAGCTCAACCGGTAGATAGAAGGTGCCACAAGGGGTAAGTCTTAGATTTGAATCTCGGCAACTGCGCTGAGAGGTTTCTGCAAGCACTTGATCCAAAGCATCACTCTCTATTTGTCAGCTTGGGATTAAAGTCCAATTTACATACTCTTAGTACACTGTCATCCCTAATGAGTTGTCATCCTTTAAGGGGTTAGAGAAAGGTGTGAAAATAATCAATACTCTTTTTAATTACAATTAGTAAATAAAAAAGCGGAGGCCAATTAAGGATGTTTTTACTTGGACTGTAATTTGTTAGTCTGGTCTCGTCTAATTTATTTAAGTCTGGCCTGATCTGAACTTGTATGGTAAACGTCTAATCTCTATGTATTTTATAACTACGAGAGTCAAGTCTAATCTGACAGTTAAAATTCAATCTGATCTAGTGTGATCTGTTTAAGTGCGATGTGGGATTGAAAAGCCAAGGAAAAACATCCAATTAGCAAAGACTCAATTGGGATACATCATTAAAAGTGCCGCCCAATACAAAACGTACAAAAGGCGGCTTTGAGACTTGAAAAGTCGATCAGTTGAGAGTTCCAACACAAAAGCAGAGGTCTAGGTTAGTAGTAGTACTCCGCACCGCAAATAGTGTTGAATATACGGAGTAGGAATACGTAGTATTTCGTAGACCTGTACTTTGGCGGGATTTGTTTTTGAAGGAGTACTTAAAAGGCCAGTGAAAGAAGAATATAGGCTGTCTCTGGTCTTTGGTCAATAAAATGGAAGATGGCTCATATACATCGGAAGAGAAGGCAACAATAATATCAACTGGCGAAGGCGAAGAAGGTCCGGCGATCGGAATCGATCTGGGGACAACTTACTCTTGCGTTGGAGTTTGGCAGCCACAGCATGACCGCGTGGAGATCATCACCAACGATTTGGGCAACCGTACGACGCCGTCATGGGTTGCCTTCACGGAAACCGAACGCCTTATCGGTGAAGCTGCCCAGAACCAGGCCGCAAAGAACCCATCCAATACCATCTTCGGTTTGTTTTTACTTTCCTGATCTGTGCGTCTTGATATATCTGTTTTCTTTTTTGCATCAATTTTTAAATAAATATTTTCTTCTCCTCCATTATGCATTTGCGCGCAATATGAAGAGACAAAATTAAAAGTGCAAAAACAATCAAGAAATTGTTCAAAATAGAACGAAAACATAGATATGCAGTGGAGTCCAAAGTTTTAAAATATGACCTATTTACTTTAATTTAAGGAATAATGTAGTACGATAAAATTTTCCTAAAATAGAATTAACGAATGAGTCCTTTTAATTAGGGAAGAAAATAAAGACACTCTTACTCGACAAATTATTTTTGTTCTACTCCTATTTAAAGAACTTTCTCCAAAAAATTTTGCGAGGGAGATTTTTTGGGTGTTGTGAAAATGTATTACTTCGTTTTTTTTATTTTATTTTTGTCACTTAATTTAACTTTAGTTATGATCATGGTCATAGTCACTCAACTTGAGTACAATAATTAATTACTGCATAAAAAATCAAATGTTGTCACATATTGAATCACACTTTTTTTATTGTGGTCATGTAGTCATTATATGATATAATAACAATCAATGGGTGTTGTCACATATTGATATTGAATCACGCATAAAAAATTTATATCTATTTTTTTGTTGTCATATTGGAATTTCAAAACAAGTGATCTGTAATTCTGAACCACTGGCAGAGGTATTAATAATAGCGTTCCTGAAGTCATCTAAATAAAATACATCAATGAGAAAACTATTTGAAAATAGTCCAGAAGGCAGGAAATAAGCATTATTATGGAACCCCATCTTTTTTTTCTTACAAATGATTCAACTTTAATGTAAAAAATTAATGAGAGCAAGTAGAAATAGGGGAAATCGGGCTTTCAGTCAGTCAAATCGTACTCATATTGAAATGTAGTCGTGTGTTTTCAAATTTATAAATGTCACCCCCAATTATTCAAATTGTTGTAAATGTGATCCTTTGAGGGTGACAATTACGATGTGAGGGAGGATTACATTTACAATAACTCGGAAAATTGAAGAACAACATTTACACACTTGAAAGCACATGGTCTCACTTCAATGTGAGTACTATTTGAGGGACAAGACGTACAATTTCCCCTAGGAAATAAGTATTACTAAGATTTATAAGATCTTTCCACTAAAAGAGAATATAATACGCTTAATAGAATAATCATGTGGTATGTGAGGTATGAAGATAACTTGGCATTTTATGCATTGACTGTTTGCTGTTGATGAAAGACAGATGTGAAAAGGCTGATAGGTAGAAAGTTTGGTGATGAAATAGTACAAAGTGATATGAAACATTGGCCATTTAAAGTCATAGCTGGACCTGACAATGACTGCGGAGAGAAACCTATAATAGCTGTGACTCACAAGGGTGAAGAGAAGCAATTTGCAGCTGAAGAGATATCCTCAATGATCCTCTACAAGATGAAGAGCATTGCAGAGGCTTACCTAGGCAAACAAGTCAAGAAAGCCGTTATAACTGTTCCTGCATATTTCAATGATTCTCAGCGTCAATCAACAAAAGATGCTGGTGTCATTGCTGGTCTTGAGGTGTTACGCATAATAAATGAGCCCACTGCTGCTGCAATTGCATATGGTCTTGATAAGAAAGGAGAAACTGGGATTGGTGATTCTGGTTTGAAGAACATATTGGTTTTTGATCTTGGTGGTGGTACTTTTGATGTCTCCATTGTCGCAATAGAAAATGATGTGTTTGAAGTCAAAGCAGTTAATGGGAACACACACCTCGGTGGAGGGGACTTTAATAACAGAATGGTGAGCCACTTTGTTGCTGAGTTCAATAAGAAACACAAAAAAGATGTAAGTGAAGATCCTAGGGCTCTTGGGCGGTTGAGGGCAGCTTGTGAAAGGGCCAAGAGAGTACTCTCTACAACTACCGAAACGTCCATTGATATTGAGTGTCTCTGTGAGGGGATTGATTTCTCTTCAAATATCACGCGTGCACGACTTGAGAATATGAATTTGGATTTGTTTGAAGATTGTTTGGACCCTGTTGAAAAGTGTTTAAAGGATGCCAAAATGGAGAAGAGCGACATTCATGATGTTGTTCTGGTTGGTGGGTCAACTCGAATTCCCAAGGTTCAGGAATTATTGCAAGGCCTCTTCCAGAGAAAGCAACTCTGCAAAAGTATAAACCCTGATGAAGCTGTTGCCTATGGAGCAGCTTTTCATTCTGCTGCCCTGACTGGTGCCTGTTATGGTGTGCATAAGGATGTTGTGCTTGTGGATGTTACTCCTTTATCTCTTGGTATAAGCTTGCATGGTGGTAAAATGTCTGTTGTCGTTCCGAGGAATACTACCATCCCTACGAAGATTAGAGTGAAAGACTACTACCACACTGCTATTGACTACCAAACCAGTTGTCGGTTCCGTGTGTTTGAGGGAGAGATGCCCTTAGCAGAACAGAACAACTTCTTGGGCAAATTTTGGCTTCATGACATTCCTTCAGCACCAAGAGGTGATGTTAAGTTTGATGTTGATTTTGACATCGATGCTAATGGCATTTTGACTGTGTCAGCAGAACTGGTTGGTAGTAACAACAGGGACCAAATAACTATAATTGACCATACTGGGAAGTTGTCAAAGGAGGAGATTGATCGGATGGTGAAGGAGGCAGAGGAGTATAAGGCTCAGGAAGAGGTGAGCAAAAAGGCATCCAAGGCTAAAAATACTTTGGAGAATTACATTCACCATGCTAGGGGTATATTGAGAGTCTGTGGAAAGAAGGTGGGGGTGAAGGACAGAAACATTTATGGACACAATTGAGAAGACTGATCAATGGTTAGAGTGGAATTACTTGCTTTGTGATGCTGTCAAGTTTGAGGAAAAGAGGAAAGAGCTTGAGATCCTATGTGAGTACATTGTCACAAAGATGCAACCTCGGCAGGGAAAGCGCAGGTCCCAGGCCTTGCATCATTGAAATAAATGACTTGCTAACGCTGATGAACCCTGAAGCTTGTAGTTTTTGTAGGCAGATTATGGAAGTTCATAACCTTTTTTGGTATATCAGACTGCGAATGTTTAGGATGAACCTTGAAACGTGGGTTTAGTTTCATTTTCTTCTCTGATTTATCTGCACACCAGTAAAATCTTATGCCCCTAACTTTTAGTCTCTTTCTCTTCTGACTCTTGGATTTCCATTGTCTCCCTGTTTGAGTTTTTCCTACTTTGTCTGCATTCCTTTCTTCCTTTGCCAACTTCCCCATTGCTGATGGCTCTTCCATTTGTTCGTTTGTATCAATTTCATGGGCTCTGTTCTCTGTGCCCTTTGGCACTCACAAAACCATTTGAATTGACACTTGTATTAATTAGGGATGGACCCGGGTCAGGCCGGTCCCGGGCCGGACCCGGGCGGTTTTTTTACAAACATGGGCCCGGAACCGGCCCGGGGTGATACTGGGTCCGGTCCGGGTCGGGCCTACCCGGCCGGGTAGGGGGCCGGTTCGGGCCGGGCCCGGGCTATTTATTTTATTTTATTTTGGTTTAAATTAAGATGTAGTATAATTGGACAAGTCAAAGTTAATTTATATTTATTTGAAATATGTAGTACAATTGAAAATTGAGCAAAAATTAAAACATGAAATACACTTTATAATAAATAAGAATCAATCGGAATTTCCGCCATCTTCGGTTGTTTCTTCCATAAAGTGGCAGGTGGGTTCAATGATAACTTCTTGAGTTCTACGTTTGGCCTTCAACCAATCGTGGAAGCAAACAAGCGTCTCAAGAGAGTTTGCGCTCAATCTCGTTCTATAATCCGTTAGGACGTTGCCGGCCGCATTAAACTCTTGTTCTACAGCAACTGTTGATTCCGGCATTGCTAGCACTTGCTTAGCCATCTTTGATAAGATCGGGAACGTTCTTTTTTTTTTTTCCTTCCACCACTTAAGAACGTCAAAGTCATCCCCTTCTTCATACTCAACAGGAAATGTTAGATACAAAGAAAGCTCGTTGATCGAGCTTTGTTCATTAACCGGAGTTGATTTACTTTTTTGAAAGAATGGCGCTTATGTTACTTACGGGAGTCGTACAGACAAAAATGGGACCTTTCTCTACTTTTCCATAAATGAGACCATTCTTATAATTACATTACAAAATTAACTCTCGTCCCTTTCGACTCCAATTCGAGATTTTAGCATCTCGCTGGATCTGGAGAGTAGTCCATGGCCACGGACTCCACTACACACCTCACCGCCTCGCTCTTTAATCATCGTAGATCGGTGGATTTGCTTCGATTCAATCGCCACCTACCTCACTGACACACCCTTCGGCTTCCGTCTCCATTCATCGCCATCGTCACCGCTAAGGCGCCAACTGAATCCATCTTCACCTCTTCTTCTTCGTTGTCAGCCGCATCCTCATCATCGTATGGTTCTTATTCTTCATCTCAATTCTTTCCCTTCTTTCTTCTTCTCGTTCAGTGATGGTGAGGGTGAACGGCGGTGATGGCTAGAAACCGGGGGTGATGGCGCATATCGATTTTAGATCTAGGTTTTCTGTGATGCTAGGATTGCGAGTGACCAAATCAGGGACATTGGGAGAGGCTGTGAGCTGCGAGGATGCAAGGTTGGGGAGGCAGGGTAGGGACCAGGTTGGGAAGGGCGGGTTGGCGGCGTTTGGCGGTGCCTTGGTGGCGGTGGTTGGCATAACTGGGCGTTCACAGTAGATTTTTGTTTGAAATCATGTTTTGGACAGATGTAACTGTAATTGATTCGGATAGTAATTGGACGGGCAGGTAATTGTAACTGGACGGGTCGGATAACTGTAACTGGACGGGTCAGGTAACTGTAACTGGACGGGTCGGGTAACTGTAACTGGACAACGGGTCGTGTAACTGTAACTAGACAGATCGGATAACTGTAAATGGACGAGTTAGGTAACTATAACTGGACGAATCAGGTAACTGTAACTAGATGATTGGGTAACTGTAACTGGATTACTGGACAAGTCGGGTAATTGGATTGGCGGATGTTGGTCACTGGATGGGTTGACGTTGGTAACTAGGTAGAATTTTTGGTCACTAATGATTTTGGTCACTGAAGAATCTTTGGATTTTTGGTCACAAATGATTTTTGGTCACTGGCGGATTTGGTCACTATAACGCTATTGGTCACTGTGGCGTTACTGTAGCATTAATGGGTGAGATTCTATTAAAATAAGGGTATAATAGTCTCCTAACTAATTTTTAGTCTCATTTTTGGAAAATAGAAAAAAAGGTCTCTTTTTTGTCCATAGCTCTTTTTTAGTATTATTTTAGACATAACCCCTACTTTTTTTCATCAGATTGCCAAATGCAGATTTGAAAATTGATTTTCCCTTAGATGAAGAAGATGTTTGTGGCGGGGGAGGGGGTGCGTTACCATATTGTGCATGAAACTCATTAAATAATTGATATAATAAATTACTAACCTCTTGGAATTGTTGTTTAGGATCTATGGCCTTGTCGTCGTCGTACATAGGCAATGGACCAAAAAAGAAGCATAATAGTAATCTAAACATTGCTCCAAAGAAGCAAGTCTAAAATGAGGATCAAGAATAAATGCAATACTATATATATGCGGAATATAGGAAAAAATTTAAAAAACTTTTGTTTCATGAAGTCACAAAAATAACTAACGTAAGCGGCATCAGAAAATATAAGTGACAATAATATAATTAGATATTAATATAAGTAGATAATAAGTAGATAATAAATTTGAGAAGATGAAGATGGAGAAGATTAGTAGAGAATAGAGATTAGAGAGTAGGAATATTTGGAGAAGATGTGTAGTAAGTTGTATAGAAAAAAATGGAGTATTTATAGATTTTTAGTACCCCCACTCCCCACCCCACCCCCCACCCCCCAACCCACCCCGGGACCCCCTGCCAGGCTCCCAACGGCTATAGAGCCGTTTGGGTTCAAATGCAACGGCTCTAAGGCCCTGTTTGGCTGCCAAACAATTTTTTTTTTTAAAACTATCCGTTAGGCCCGGACCAGGCCCGAACCGGCCGGGCCGGGCCGCCTTTATGATGAACCGTACCCGAACCGCCCCCCTCCCCCAGGCCGGGTCAAAGCCCGAACCAGTTTTTTGGTACCGGCCCGGTTGAGTCCACCCCTAGTATTAATATAAGAGAAAAGATACAAATATACACTTCTAGTATGAGTATAACAACAAATATATTTTCGTTCTATTTTTTGAATCAAATAAACCTTTGAAGACTGAAGTTTATACGAAAGTGTGTATATATATATACTTATATATATCTTTTAACTTTTATTAGATGCAAAAATACCCCTCATGTTCATATAATAGAGCAAATTTACTTTTGTTGACTTAAAATAGATAAAATTAATTTCAAAAAACACTAAAAATAAATTATAAAAACTCCGCCATGAGATTATTATTTTTGGTATCATGCCTGTCCCAAGTCAGGATAAAGGAGGAGGGTGTTGTGGTGATAAGAATGTTAAGCCTGCTAGGTTGTCACCCGGAAGCGACACGCCACTCCAATGCCCGGAAATGGTGTCAAATATGCAAGGGCATGGTGGGAGTCAATGCGGTGTGAAGAAAAAAAGGCAGGGTGCTAGATTGTGTTTTGGGACAGGGAATGTTGGCTCTCTTACGGGATGTCGGGAAGATCATATGAGATAGCTGAGGTTATGAAAAGGAGAAATGTCAGCATAATGTGCATGCAAGAAACTAAGTGGGTTGGAGAAAAGGCACGTGGGATCAATCTCGGAGGTTTTAAGTTGTGGTATTCGGGGAGAGAAAGGAACAGAAATGGAGTAGGCATTATGGTGACACAAGATTATGTCGAGAGTGTGGTGGAAGTCTTCAGGAAGAACGACTGCATCATGAGCATTAAGTTGATAATAGAAGATGAGATCGTGTCAGTGGTAAGTGCCTATGCACCACAAGTGGGATTGGATGCTTGTATCACTCAACAATTTTGGGAGGATCTTGAGGAGGTGGTGCGACGAGTGCCAAAGGGAGAGAAGCCGGTCATAGGAGGCGACCTCAACAGGCATGTGGGCCCGAGTCGTGATGGTTTTGAGAGTATCCATGGAGGACATGGTTTTGGCACTAGAAATGAAGCGGGGAAGAACATTCTGGATTTTGCCTCGACATATGAGTTGGTTGTGATGAACACTTGGTTCAAGAAAAGAGACTCTCACCTTGTGACCTATAGAAGTGGAGCTAATAGTACCCAAATTGACTACTTTTTAGTACGAACGACTTGGAGAACTAGCTACACTGATTGTAAGGTTATCCCAGGTGAGAGTGTTGTCACTCAACATAGGATGCTTGTGCTTAATTTTCAAGGTAAAAAGATAATGAGAGTTAAGGTACAAAGGGAGTCAAAGATAAAGTGGTGGAGGCTAGAGGGGAATCTCCAACAAACTTTTACGCAGAAAATGTTGGAGGAAGATGTGTGGTCCATTGATAATGACGCTCATGTGGATGATGTGTGGTTATCAATGGAGTCCACCTTTAACAAAGTGGCGAAAGAGATACTTGGAGAATCTCAAGGATGCCTACCACCAAAAAAGGACACATCTTGATGAAATGATGAGGTGAAACAAGCAATAAGGATCAAAAGGGAATGTTAAAAGAAATTGGGCAAAAGTTGGAGCGACGAGAACATAGAGGAGTACAAGGAGGCTAGAAGAAGAGCAAAGAAAGCTGTAAAGGAAGCAAGAAGAAAAGTGAACAGAGAATTGTATGCAAAATTGGACTCTAAGGAAGGAGAAAAATATATTTACAGACTTGCTCGTCTTCGTGACCGTAGGACTCAAGATATAGGAAAAGTTAAGTGTGTGAAGGATGTCGATCAAAGGGTACTAATGGAGGACGGGGAGATAAAAGAGAGGTGAAGGTCTTACTTTGATACACTTTTCAACGGGAACAAAGCGCAAGATATCGGTGATTTGACCATACCAGATTGTTTGGTAAATCGCGATTTTGTGAGAGGAATCCAAACAACGGAAGTTAAGGAGGCTCTGAGGAAGATGGGGTGGAAGAAAGCAGTGGGACTTGATGGCATACCGATCAAGGCTTGGAGAAGTTTGGGAGAGAGAGGCGTCAAGTGGTTAACAAGTTTCTTCAACATGATTTGGAGAAACAACAAGATGTCAACTAGTTGGAGGAAGAGCACTCTTATCCCC